ACTGTCGGACCTATAGGACAGAAGGACATCCTTCGAGAACATGATACCCTCCGCTGGCCAAAACACCTAGAACAGCCAATGGTACCAGCCTCCCCTGGGAAAACCAACAGGTACGGATACCGCTACTCCCCGGATCTCTCCCAGGGTGCGTTCTGACCAAGATTTCGAGGCGAATCCAGCCGTGGCGACGAGGGCCTCCCGGGAGGCCCAAGAGGGGGAGGATGAGGGAAGGGTAGCTGTATGGGTACCCCTCTTCCTCCTCTGATCCCCAAGATGCACCAGAACATCGGGCGGCCAAGAGGGGGGCGTCCAAAACGGGGGTGCAAACCATAGCCGACGGCATGTGCGCGGCCCAAGGGGGGGGGCCAGGGACGCAATGAAAGAAGGAAAAGCGCCATGAAAGCTGGGGAGATATCATGGCCCATGCCATTATATCCACCCTGCACGGTTTCCCCCGGGGCCGCAGGCGACCCGAGGAGAAGGAGGAGGTGGAGGAGGGGGTAGGGAGAGGAGATGGAGGAGGAGGAGGAGGAAGAGGAGGAGGAGGAGGAGGAGGAGGGCGGAGGCCGCCCCCCTCGTCATCACCCCTCTCTCTGCCGCCCCCGACCTCTGCATGGCGCCGTGCTTCGGGCCCCCCCGGGGCCGCCGCCGAGACACCAGCGCCCACAGAGGGCACGCCCAGCAGAGCGCCGGAGAGCGGCGGCGGGCAAGGGGGGAGATCGAAGGGAGGAGGAGGAGGAGGAGGAGGAGGAGGAGGAGGAGGAGGAGGAGGAGGAGGAGGAGGAAGAGGAGAAGGAGGAGGAGGAGGAGGAGGACCGGGATCCGAAGTCCTGCCCTCGGCCCTCCTCGAGGATCGGGGAGGGATTTCGCACGTCCTCCCCAGAGATCTAACGCATGGACAAAAATTACAAGACTGAAATTTTGCACAATGTTCAGCCTCTGTGGGCCCTTGTTGGGCCCCGGGACCGTCAAAAAACTACTCAGGACGAGAAACTGGTCCTGGGGAATGAGTCGAGACTTCAAAGGAACCTCGCATTGAAAAAATCACGACATCGGATCTCTGGGGGTTTTGCATGTCCTCGGACTGTTGTTGGACGTTTTCGGCCCTGTTTGGGCCTCCAGGGACCTCTGAGGACTTCCGGGGGTCAAGATCTGGGGCGGGAGCAAGACTTACCAGGATGGGGATGAACAGGGCGCCCACCAGGGGGGGTCAGCGCAGATCTAAGAAAAAATCAGCGCCGACATCCGGAAGGTCATGTCTGTGTGCGACTCGTTGTCCTTGGAGGAGGAGGGGGAGAGCAGGATTAGGAAGCAACTCCTCCCGGGAAGGCGTCGTGGGAACCGCCAAGGACTACTGAGCTTAGGTCGGGCCTGTCCCCCTACAGGGGGATTTTCGACGAAAAATGAAAAATACCCCAAACATGATCCAAAAGTAATCAAAACATAGCCTCGGGACTATGTTTGGAATATGTTTTGGCCTTTTTGGGGGCATTTGTGGGATATGTTTTATTTTTCGTCGAAAATCCCCCTGTAGGGGGACACGCCTGACATAATACTGAGCCCCACCAAGGGGGTGAGCACCTGGAGCCCCCTCCCCGATCCGCAGCATCGACCTGTGCTGCAGCCCCCCCCTCCCCGTCGCTTGGACGTCCATTCCCTGTGTTCTTTTCGGTTTCGTGCGTGGTTTTTGCGCAGGATGATCCAGGATGCTCCTTAATAACCCCCGCCGAGAAAAGCACACACACACACACACACGTCCGAGCGATACCCAGCCCCAGCCCGCTCCTCCCCTCGGGGGCCGCCTGCCGCACACCTCAGGCCGGACATGTCCTCCCACAGGGGGAGTTCGGACGAGAGATACAAGACAGCCGAAAGAAACTCGAAACATCTTCAGAAATCAGCAACTCGTCCCCAGACTATGTTTTGACTATTCTTAAACATTCCCCCTGCAGAGGGACAGGCCCGACTTGACGCAAACCCTGCTGCTTTTTTTGGGCGGGCGGGGAGGCAAGGGTGCGACGCCGCTGCGGGCGGCTAGGTTTCAGTTCTGGAGCATCAGACGGTTCCCCTGGTTGTGAGGTGTGCCGCACAGCGGGACAAAAAGAAACGAAGGGTGGACGTTGGGCCCACAAAGTCGGGAGACGAGCCTTCAAGACTCTCGTGTCTCAAAAGGGGGCAGGAAATGCGGCAGAATGCCAGCGCGATTTACTGCAGAAGCCCGAGGGCGATCCCGCCCAGGGTCAGGCGTACGAGAACTGATGCTGAAGAAGAAACCAGCCGCTCGAGGCGACCGCGACAGTGCGATGAGCGCAAAGATGCTGTACACGCGCCACAACATACACACGCCCAACTGCTGGCACCGAAACGGCGGTAGTCTTAAAGCTGCTGCTGTACATGTGCAAATTGACTCAGATGTCACGCAGACGCGAAAGGGCAATTTAACATCACACAGCCCCTGCTCTTCGACTCGCCGTGAAGCGCACCTCGCCCTTTGCACGTGGACAACTTGACGGCGACGATGCCCTCCTCCCAGCGCGTGGGCTATACAACGCTTTGATGGAGGTCGTCTTGCACAGCTTGCGGCTGCGAGCCGAAGCTCTCTCGGAGACGAGCTGACCGAGCATGTTCGACACCAGCTGCCCCTTTATGCGCCCATCTGAAGCAGCTCTCTTTGCCCCCGCGCGGTACCATGGAGTGGCCCCTCTAACTTAAGGCGACCTTGCTCACCTGGCTATATGCCTCTCGCATCGGAGCTCTTGGTAAACTGATGCTTCGGTATGGAGCGCTATCGCGAGGACAATACAATCACGCGGAAGCAAAGCTGGCTCGATACTGTTTGGGACGTAGTGGCTGCAAATCGCTGACGTCTAAGCCTTGCCTCGCCTGCTGGCTTCGGGCGATGCTGCCAGTCGCTGGGGAAGACGGGTGAATTTCGCTTCCGAGCGGCGTCCCCCGATATGGTCGTAGCGATGTATAGAAGCTGTCCCGAGGGACCATCAGCGCCCACCGCAGGAAGGGCCTAGCGCGCCCATGGCCCAGGGAGAGCTCCCTCGTGCCCGCTCGAGGATGCTCCGCGAAGCGCCCACAAAAGTCGGAACGCATCGACCCCGAACCGCCCATACAGCGCTCGCCGAGAGGGGCCTGGTAGCCCCACCCCGCCCACGAGCATGCGGTTTCGCCATCGGGGCGCGCCTTGCCGATCTATCGGCGATGCCTCGCCGATTCAATCTCGGTGTTCCCTCCCTGAGCCGGCCCCCCCACCTATCTCCCACGGTCCCCGTCCCGTCCCTCTCCGTCTCGCTCCACCCTGTTCTGCTCCCGCTGTCCTGGTACTTGGCCGGGGAGGCTTCTGTCGCAGGTCGATGTGCTACCCAGGCCACGAAGCAATGGCGCAGCCCCCGCCCCCCCGCCAGAATCCACGCGTCAGGTCACCCATCACCCGTCACCCTCCGTGCAAGTTCAACGTGCACGAATGTTCCTCCTACGTGCGTTCACCATTCAGGGTCTCATTTCGTGCGCAGGGCATCATTTACCAGCCGCTCGTCGGCCGTGGTTGTGCATGCCTGATGTTGACATTGAAAATACCAACGCACGCAATGTATACTCCTACTACTACTATTACTCTTGCATGGAGCTACCCCGTCATTCGAATCCCTGCATATTTCTCGAGTCGGATCCTGCTCTGTCGCGAATCCGTATCCCGTATGCACTCCTACTCTGCCACAAAAGCGCCCGATAACCGCCAAATGCTGGACTTCCCATCCTAGCTGTCAAACCAACGCGCGATCGACATCTTCGCTTTCATCATGGAGCTTGTGCGGCCCATGTTGCAAAACGCGTGGCAAGAATGGGACGGCGCACGCATCCCGCGCAGAAGGCCGAAGTGTCGCTCTCGCCCCGGCGTCGCGCCCATGCTTCGCCTCGGCGCCGCGCAGACTTCGCCTGTGAGCGGCGGCCCCGCCTCGGCGCGGCGCATATACGACACCGGCCAATTTTTCGATGGGGACCCGCGCGAGCGGGCGACTTTGCCGCACTCGCCCACGCCGCGTGCGCACTTCGCCCAAAAGTGACGCTGCGCATGGCACCTTCGCCGGATCGCCTGGAAGCGAACGCGGCGGCGGGGCCGCAAGAGAGCGGCCGAAGCGCCGACCTCGCCCAGGGCGAGGCGCAGCTTGTGAGTGACAGCGGCAGTGCTGAGTCAGCGCAGCGCGTGCTTCGTCTTCGCTGCGCCCAGCCAGAGCGGTGCCGCCTCATCCTCATCCGCATCATCCTCCTCCTCCTCCTCCTCCTCCTCCTCCTCCTCCTCCTCCTCCTCCTCCTCCTCCTCCTCCTCCTCCTCCTCCTCCTCCTCCTCCTCCTCCTCGCCAAAGGTCGTCGGAGGTGGGGCCGCGCGTGGGCGCCGGCCGTTGGCTATAGGCGGGAGCGCGTTGCAAGCCGAGCGTCAAGGTGCGCCACACTGGACTCGTATGCCGCGGGAGGAAAGCCAAGAGCAGGCGGGGCCCTCTGACACGCCCGGCCTGACCAACTGGACGCTCACCCGTACTCTGGATCTCATTCGGGCTCGCACCTCTGCAGTCATCTCATCACCCCTGCCCTAACGCATCCCACCGCCCTACTGCCCGACATCTTACGTATGCAATTGCCCTTGGTATTCCACAGTGCGCCACCGAGGAGAAGGATGAGGTCGAGGAGGTATAGAGGAGGAAGGGAGAAGAAGACAAGTGGAGCAAGACACGCAGCGAGTTGATGAGGAGGCTGCGACAGAGGATGACCAGCAGGATGAGGGGGAGGGGGGAGGAGAGCGCGAGCCAGGAACAGGAGGAGCTGGAGGAGGGCGAGAGACACGGGCGAGGGAGAAGAGGAGGGAGAGAGGAGGAGGGAGAGAGGAGGGAGGGAGGAGGGAGGGAGGAGGGAGGACGAAAGCAGGAGGCCAGATGTTTCCCGAAGCGGGCGGAGCCAGCCGCTCGGTATGCCGGGAGCGCCCTCTCACGCGCTGGCCCTCAGATCACCGCGTCCCGCACGGAGGTTCGCGCGGAAGCGGCGCGGGCTGCCTTGAGGGGGCCCAGGGACACACCAATAGATACATACACAAATCCCCGGATCCCCCATGTTCTTCCACATGTTCTGGGTGTTCGTCTTCCCCCCCACTTCACATACCCAGAAATGCGGCGTCCACTTTTTTCAAGACGGGGCCCCTGGAAGTCCCGACCCTTTCCCCAGCACCGGTTTTTCATCCTGAGCCGTTTTTTGACGGTCCCGAGGCCCAGCGAGGGCTCCCACAAGCCGACATCGACCGAAAACCTCCCATCCTGATGTTTGTTTTTTTTGCGACGCAATGATGTCTGGGTAGTTTCCCGTATTGTCCATAAAGGCTCGACGATTCCAGTGTGTCTGTGTGTGGTTCTTACCTCTCGAGGCCTGCTGGTCGGCGGTGTCGGTCTTCGGGGCGGGGGCGCGCAGCAGCGGGCTGCGGAGCCCCGTCGGGAGGTCGTTGCGCATCCCCACGACGCCCCCGTCGTCGGTCATGACGACCTCTGAGCAGGGGCTGACCGTCCCAGCATTCTTATGGGCCTACCACGACATGTTCTTGGAACCCACAAGCATTCTAGAACAAGGTTCTTAGCATGTGAGGCCGGCTAGTGCGAAACCATATGAGCCAGACGTGTTCTAAGAATATTTCGTGCAGACCACACAAAGTTCTCTGAACATGCTTTGGTGGGCCTACAGGCAAGCCAGGACGCTTCGCCACTGCCTGAAACCTCGTCCACGTAGGCCACCCAGCACACCCTGTAGCCTGTGTACCTTGGCGGCGCGCACAAAGGGGGTATGGGGGAGGGGGAAGGCTCCTCACAAAAGGAGGCTGCCTCCTAGAAGGCGCCGGCCTTTACTACATCTACAGATAAGGCACGAGCCTTCTGAGAAGCAGGGGTCCTTCCAAGAAGCCTTCCCTCCCCACCTAACCCGGATAGGTCTTTACACCCCCCTCCACACGGGGCAACAAATTACTTGTCCAGCGGCCCGTCTTGAAAGACTGGGGTCCCGACCAGATGGGGAACTAGTTATCGAGCTTCCGCGGCAAACGCAGCGCAACAACGACGACGACAGCTACGACTGCGACTGTCACTACAAAGACGAAGACGACGACACCGACGACGACGACAACTACTACTGATACTACTACTACCTCTACTACAACTACAACTACAACAACTACTACTACTACTACTACTACTACTACTACTGCTACTGCTACTGCTACTGCTACTGCTACTGCTACTGCTACTGCTACTGCTACTGCTACTGCTACTGCTACTACTACTACTACTACTACTACTACTACTACTACTACTACTACTACTACTACTACTACTACTACTACTACTACTACTACTACTACTACTACTACTACTACTACTACTACTACTACTACTACTACTACTACTACTACTACTACTACTACTACTACTACTACTACTACTACTACTACTATTTACGCAGGACGATAGATTATCCTCTTGAGGTGCAAATGGCCATGAGGAATTTGCGAAACAACGTCGGCGCCGCCGAACGGACGGCGACCGGACGAGCTGTTTGCAGCAACCGGGGGAGGAGGGATGTATATATGCATGTTCATTACCGAACCCCCCTCCCACATAGAATCTTAACACGGGCGGTTTGCGGGGTCCGCGGATCCGATCTCTTCCAGCTCCCTGGTTTTAATTTAATAATGTAAATATAAAATTAGAGTCGAGCTGGGATCCGCCGTAAAACATAAAACCGGACACGGATCCAGCTAATCCGAAATCGGATCCGTACGGACGGAAATCGGATCCACCGAAACAAACACCAAAGCCACATTTGGGTCCGCGCGACCTTCATGAGATCCGACGGCGGTTATCTCATACGGGTCTGCTCACGACTTCACACCGCCTTTCAGGGCCCAAGAGGAAAACACTTTCGTCTTGGGGATGAGCGTTTTGGCCTTCGGACTCGTTGGTTACCACATAGCCGACACACCACATCTCACAGGCAGTCCGTTGGGTGAGGAGACGCAGGGCCGAAACGCATGAGCGTTTTGGCCTTCGGACTCGCTGATTGCCACATAGCGGACACACCACATCTCACACGCAATCCGTTGTTCGTTACCGCGCAGCCGACACCACATCTCACAGGCAGTCCGTTGGGTGAGGAGACGCAGGGCCGAAACGCAGCGTTTTGGCTTTCGGACTCGTTGTCTACCACATAGCCGACACACCACATCTCACACGCAATCCGTTGTTCGTTACCGCACAGCCGACACCACATCTCACAGGAAGTCCGTTGGCTGAGGAGACGCAAGGCCGAATCGCAGCGTTTTGGCCCTCGGACTCGTGGATTACCACATAGCCGACACACCACATCTCACACGCAATCCGTTGTTCCTTACCGCACAGCCGACACCACATCTCACAGGCAGTCCGTTGGCTGAGGAGACGCAGGGCCGAAACGCATGAGCGTTTTGGCCTTCGGATTCGTTGGTTACCACATAGCCGACACACCACATCTCACACGCAATCCGTTGTTCGTTACCGCGCAGCCGACACCACATCTCACAGGCAGTCCGTTGGGTGAGGAGACGCAGGGCCGAAACGCAGCGTTTTGGCCTTCGGACTCGTTGTCTACCACATAGCCGGCACACCACATCTCACACGCAATCCGTTGTTCGTTACCGCACAGCCGACACCACATCTCACAGGAAATCCGTTGGCTGAGGAGACGCAGGGCCGAAACGCAGCGTTTTGGCCCTCGGACCCGTGGATTACCACATAGCCGACACACCACATCTCACACGCAATCCGTTGTTCGTTACCGCACAGCCGACACCACATCTCACAGGCAGTCCGTTGGCTGAGGAGACGCAGGGCCGAAACGCACTTACGCAGGACGAAAAATTTTTCTTCTTGAGGTGCAAATGGCCATGAGGAGTTTGCGAGACAACGTCGGCGCCGCCGAACGGACGGCGACGAGACGAGCTGTTTGCAGCACCCGGAGGAGGAGGGATGTATGTATTCATGTTATTTACCGACCCCCCCTCCCCCATAGAATCTTAACACGGGCGGTTTGCGGGGTCCGCGGATCCGATTTCTTCCGGCTCCCTGGCTGAATTAGTAATACAAATATAAATGATGGTCGAGATCGGATCCGCCGTAAAACATAAAACCGGACACGGATCCAGCGAATCCGAAATCGGATCCGTACGGACGGAAAACGGATCCACCGAAACAAACACCAATACATCACATTTGGATCCGCGCGACCTTCATGATATCCGACGGCGGTTATCTCATACGGGTCTGCTCACGATTTCACACCGTCTTTCCGGGCCCAAAAGGAAACAACTTGCGTCCTGGGGATGGGCGTTTTGGCCTTCGGACTCGCTGGTTACCACATAGCCGACACACCACATCTCACACGCAATCCGTTGTTCGTTACCGCACAGCCGACACCACATCTCACAGCCAGTCCGTGGGGTGAGGTGACGCAGGACCGAAACGCAGCGTTTTGGCCTTCGGACTCGTTGGTTACCACATAGCCGACACACCACATCTCACATGCAATCCGTTGTTCGTTACAGCACAGCCGACACCACATCTCACAGGCAGTCCGTTTTGTGAGGAGACGCAGGGCCGAAACGCATGAGCGTTTTGGCCTTCGGACTCGTTGGTTACCACATAGCCGACACACCACATCTCACACGCAATCCGTTGTTCGTTACCGCACAGCTGACACCACATCTCACAGGCAGTCCGTTGGGTCAGGAGACGCAGGGCCGAAACGCAGCGTTTTGGCCTTCAAACTCGTTGGATACCACATAGCCGACACACCACATCTCACACGCAATCCGTTGTTCGTTACCGCACAGCCGACACCACATCTCACAGGCAGTCCGTTGGCTGAGGAGACGCAGGGCCGAAACGCACTTACGCAGGACGAAAAATGTTTTTCTTTAGGTGCAAGTGGCCATGAGGAGTTTGCGAGACAACGTCGGCGCCGCCGAACGGACGGCGACCAGACGAGCTGTTTGCAGCAACCGGGGGAGGAGGGATGTATGTATTCATGTTCATTACCGAACCCCCCTCCGCCATAGAATCTGAACACGGGCGGTTTGCGGGGTCCGTGGATCCGATTTCTTCCGGCTCCCTGGTTTAATTTAGTACTATAGATATAAAACAGGGTAAATATCGGATCCGCCGTGAGAAAAAAAACGGACACGGATCCAGCTAATCCGAAATCGGATCCGCACGGACGGAAAACGGATCCACCGAAACAAACACCAAAGCCACATTTGGATCCGCGCGAGCTTCATGAGATCCGACGGCGGTTTTCTCATACGGGTCTGCTCAAAACGTCACACCGTCTTTCCGGGCCCGAGAGGAAAAACTTTCGTCCTGGGGATGAGCGGTTTGGCCTTCGGACCCGTTGGTTACCACATAGCCGACACACCACATCTCACACGCAATCCGTTGTTCGTTACAGCACAGCCGACGCCACATCTCACAGGCAGTCCGTTGGCTGAGGAGACGCAGGGCCGAAACGCAGCGTTTTGGCCTTCGGACTCGTGGATTACCACATAGCCGACACACCACATCTCACACGCAATCCGTTGTTCGTTACCGCACAGCCGACACCACATCTCACAGGCAGTCCGTTGGCTGAGGAGACGCAGGGCCGAAACGCACCTACGCAGGACGAAAGATTCTCTTCTTGAGGTGCAAATGGCCATGAGGAGTTTGCGAGACAACGTTGGCGCCGCCGCACGGACGGCGACCGGACGAACTGTTTGCAGCAACCGGGGGAGGAGGGATGTATGTATTCATGTTCATTACCGAACCCCCCTCCCCCATAGAATCTTAACACAGGCGGTTTGCGGGGTCCGCGGATCCGATTTCTTCCGGCTCCATGGTTTAATCTAATAATAAAAAATTCAAAAAAAAGAGACCGGATCCACCGTACAAATGAAAAACGTGCACCGATCCAGCAAATCCGAAATTGGATCCGTACGGGCGGAAATCGGATCCACTGGAACAAAACACCAAAACCACATTTGGATCCGCGCGGGCTTCATGAGATCCGACGGCGGTTATCTCATACGGGTCTGCTCAGGACTTCACACGGTCTTTCCGGGCCCAAGAGGAAAAACTTTCGTCCGGGTGATGTACTACGACGAGGACTACGACTACGACTACGACTACGACTACGACTACGACTACTACTACTACTACTACTACGACTACTACTACTACTACTACTACTACTACTACTACTACTACTACTACTACTACGACTACTACTACTACTACTACTACTACTACTACTACTACGACTACTACTACTACTACTACTACTACTACTACTACTACTACTACTACTACTACTACTACTAGTACTACTACTAGTACTACTACTACTACAACAACAACTACTACTACTACTACGACTACTACTACTACTACTACTACTACTACTACTTCTACTACTACTACTTATACTACTACTAGTCTTACAACTACTGCTACTACTACTACTACTACTACTACTACTACTACTACCACAACTACTATTACGACGTACTACTACCACAATACTATTACCAAGAACTGCACGATTACGTCTCTACTATTACTATTACTACTACTACTGCTTACTACTTATCACTGACATACTAGTACTAGACTAGTATACATTTACTACTACTACTACTACTATAGCTACTACTACAAGGACTACGACTACTTAACTTACTACTATATCTACTACTGCTTCTGATACGTAATCTACTACTACTTTCCTACTAATAATACTAATACTACCTACTACTAAAAAGTACGGCTACGACTGCCTTGTACGACTTTACTACGACTGACTCCTCCTCCTCCTCCTCTCCTCTCCCTACTCCTTCCCTTCCTCCTATAGTCTAACATTAGTACTAGTACTACTACTAGTACTAGTACTACTACTAGTAATACTTAATACTCCTCGACTGACGACTCTACTGACCCGTCAAATACTCCTATCGGAGCACACACCACATATCACTCACTAACACGGGACTGCTGCGACTACGACTACGACTACTACGACTACTACTACGACTACTGCTGCTACGACTAGGGCTACGACTAGGACTAGGACTACGTCTACGACTACGACTACTACTACGACTACGACTACTACTACTACTGCCCCGGCTTCTACTACTACTACTACTGCTACTGCTTCTACTACTCCTACTACTACCCCTACTACTACTACTACTACTACTACTACTACTACTACTACTACTACTACTACTACTACTACTACTACTACTGCCACTACTACGAAGTCCACTACTAATACTACTACTACTACTACACGATCCTGCTATAACTACTACTACTACGTACCATCCATTACTACTATACTACTACCATACTACAACTATTACTTATAAGTACGACTACCCACTAATTTTACTACTGACGATACGACTACTACCGTCTATTCCTACTACTACTTACTACGACTACTAATACGACTACTAATACTACTACGTTTACTTACTGACTTACTACTACTACTACTAATTAAATAGGACCTACTTACTACTACTAATACTAGTACTACTACTACACCTACTAGTTCACACTTACTTCTACGACTCTACTTCACTACTACGACTACCTACTAGTACAACCTACTTACTACTACGACTTGATTCCTACTGGAAGTGACCACTACTACTCCTATAGGCTAACTACTATCTACTACTACTACTGATACGACTACACTTACGACTACAACTACTACTACTACTACTACTACTACTACTACTACTACTACTACTACTACTACTACTACTACTACTACTACTACTACTACTACTACTACTACTACTACTACTACTACTACTACTACTACTACTACTACTACTACTACGACTACTTATACTACTACTACTACTACTACTACTACTACTACTACTACTACTACTACTACTACTACTACGACCTACTACTACTACTACTCAAGTACGACACTACAATCCCGACGTCCAGACTACTAATACTACTTGCTTCGATAACTACTTACTAATTTAATGACTACTACTTATACTTCGTACTACTTAATTGTTACACTACTACTACTACTTCGATATTAATTTTCTAATACTACTATAACTACTTCTACTACTACTACTACTAACTAATGTTACTATATTACTAATCTTCTACTACTACTACTAATACTACTACTTACTACTTCTCGGACTAACTACCACTATTACGAAGCGATAGGCGAGCTGCTCTATTACTACTACTCTCCTACTACTACTTCCATACTACGTCTACTACTACTTACTACGCTACGACTACTCTACTACGACTACTACTACTACTACTACTCTGCTACTATACTACTACTACTACTTACTACTACTTACTCCTACTACTACTACTACTACTACTACTACTACTACTACTACTACTACTACTATTACTACTATTACTACTACTACTACTACTACTACTACTACTACTACTACTACTCCTACTACTACTACTACTCCTGCTGCTGCTGCTGCTGCTGTTGCTGCTGCTGCTATTTGTGCATCAAGACCAGGACGAAAAGGAGGGCACAACTTTAGCCAGCTTCAGAATAAGCCGTTTCCACCGCGGAAGGAAAAAACGGAGGAGCAAAACAAAAGACCTCCCGCGATTACCCTTACGTCTGGCATGTCCTCCTACAGGCTGATTTTGGAGGATATATATGTATATATATGTATGTATTTATATATATATACACATAATCAATAGATGCTCGAAAATCGTCCCCAAACTAGTGTGTGACTATTTTTGAATACTCTTCCTGGCGACGGACACGCCCGCCTTAAGGTTACCCGTTTTCTGCGCATGGCCAGATACCAGCGCAGCAGCGCCAGCGCCAGCAGCGACGACCAGACCAGGTACAGCACCAGCGGCGCGCGGCCAGCCAGCACGGCCTGCACGGCGTCGCTGTACAGGGCGCTCCGCGACGCCAAGAAGTAGCCGAGGCACGACACCAACAGCAGGCTGCCTGCGATGCTCGTCGATGCCAGGTTGAACGCCTGCGCGAAGTTGACTGGAACATCTGTCTCGGAGGGGAAAAAAGGTACCCATACTGGTACCCTTCGCTTGTTTTCCTTTCTGTTGGGCCTCCTGGCAAGCCCTCGTCGTCGCGGTTGGATTTGCCTCGAAATCCTGGGCAGAACGCAGCCTGGAAGAGGTCCGGGGAGTAGCGGTATCGGTACCTGTTGAAGTCCCCAATCTCGACCCCTACCTCGGGCTCCATAGGGTCATCTAATGGACCAAACATTTGGGGCCCAACCCCAGGGTACACGATGGGGGGGCGTTCATCCTCGATAGGGGTGCGCCCGAGTAGCCCCATTGGGGTGTATCGCGGGGTTTCCCCTTGTATCTGAGCGGCCTGACTTTTCGGCCGAACCCGGGAATTGGGGGAGGAAGGTCGCCTGCGAGAAGTCACTCTGGCCACAGATGCCTGAGGGGCAACGGTAGGGGGGGACTGGAGTAGGGGGGAACATCGATCTGGAAGCCGCGATACATCGTCGATAAATCTGCGATGGGCCCCCGATAACAAATCCGCACTTTCCTGGGCGTGGAGGGGCTATCGGGCCCCATATCGACGATCAATGGGCGACAGGGGGTCGATGCTTCCCCCCGTACACCCACGCTCAGATTGAGAAATGTTTACGCAAGGATAATCGGTTTAACTCCAAACGTTTTCTTAAAAGTTAGTCCAGGTCCAGATAGATGAACGTTCTACAATCGGCGGTGGACAAACCTCCCTTTTAGTAAACCTCCCTTCAGTGAACACAACCCAAGACCGAAACCGACAGACCTGGACCCGCAAAAATGACGGCCGCGACGCCCTCTCGCGAACCGAAAACGGCCAATTCCTTAATCGACGTGTCAGGGTAGGAGGTCTGTCCACCTCCGATGCAAAGAAGAAAAGTTCGAAGAACACTCCCAGGGTCCAGTCCACACTGTTGGTTGCCTTGCACGGAATCTGGAGTCTGTGAACGTGGATGTTTTCTCGAAGTGGCTGATCGGTGCATATTTGTCTTTATGTTGTTCCCATCGTACGTGGGGACCACATCCCAAACATAATTGCGAGCACCAAGAAAGGTATCGAAACAGTGCCTGCCCGACACGCTGGCGCAGTGACGAACGGCAATCGCTTCCCAGGGCCCGACGCACGAACACCATCTCAATACTCGGTATCTTCCAGTCGGGGATGTTTTGGCCCGGGTAAATCCAGACCTGGGTCAGCCAGCCTTGCAGTATCCTGCAAGATCCTGCAGGATCCTGCTGGGTGCACCCGAACCCGGGTGAATGCGACCCTTGCCTTGCAGGATCCTCCACAATCTGGCGCTCTGGCGAAGCCCTGTTGGCACGGACCCCGGTCCCGAGGCCCGGAGAGGGCCTCCTGGGGCCGGAAACGGCCAAAAACCTCCCGCCCTGATTCTTGCACGACGCTGATGGGCCTGTTCTCCACCACCACCACCATAAGCTGGAGGGGGGAAAGAGGTGGAGGACGAGGGGAGAGAGGAGGAGGAGGACGACCCCCTCCCCCTCCAACTTATGATGGCGGTGGTGGAAAACAAGCCCGTCAGACTCGATCGCGTCTGGGTCTGTGGAACATACGGGAGTAACTGTCTCGCAAAACAGGGAGACAACTGAAATAGAACAAGGGGGACCCGTGCCAGAAGAGAGCACGTCCTCTTGCCTTTCCGGGGCCCAGGACGCGCCCGCCGCCTGCGCGCCAGGTGACTCGAGAGGGCCCTCGTGAGCCCATGTGGCGGCACACGAGGCAGTCCAGAGAGAGGCGCAGGAGGAGGAGAGGCTGCCATGGGCACATGCCTGCCCCCCCCCCCCCCCCCTCGCGTTGCCCCCGAGTGCCCCTGGCCCCCAGGGCCGCCCAGGCCAGCGCCACGACCCGCTGGAACGGCAGCTCGCCCAGCGCCCCCAGGAGGCCGGCCCGCCGCCGCGCCTCGCCCCGGGCCGCCTGGAGGCGCCGCAGCAGGGCCAGCTTCTTGAGCTCGGCATCCTCGAAGGGGCCCAGGGACGTACAGATAGATCCTCCTCCACCTCCTGCTCCTCCTCCTCCTCCTCCAGCAAGGCCTCCAGATCCCAATGGTTCCACTCAGAATGTTTTGAATTCTTACATGTAGACGGCAAGTATATGACGGCCCCCCCTCAGGAAAACAGGTTCACATTGCTGGGGGAAACGTTCATGAAACCCATCGTTTTGTTCCCATTGTGCCGCCATCGCGCATCAGCTCCACGGCCACTGGGAAGGAATACCTTAAAAGAATCGCTCTCGGACTCTGGCCCAAGGTCCTCAGTCGGGCTGAGAAGGCCGTCACAGACAGGAACACCCAACAGAGGATGGCGGACTTTGAATCATCTACATCGCTACGCGATCAGGCAGAGACTCCTCCTTCTCCTCCTCCTCCTCCTCCTCCTCCTCGTCCTCCTCCTCCTCCTGAGCACAGAGACATACAAACAAACAGGCACACTAAACGTTCCACGTTTTCTGGGCTTTCGTCTTCCCATCCACCGTCCCGTAGGTTCCGCATGTTCGGCGGAATCGACGTTTTAGGTGTGTCTGCCTGTGTGTGTTTCTTGTCCGCGTGAATCCTGGAGCGCGATCTTGGCGGCCCCGAGCTGGAGCCGTGAGCTTCGCAGCTCCTCTGCCTCGGCGGTGGCCTTGTGCAGCATCGCGCTGGCCTGGGCCTCCTCCTCCTCTGCCGCGGCGCGGGCGCTGGCCAGCTGCGCCCGCAGCTCGTGCAAGGCCTCGCTGAGGGTGTGGGGCTTCCCAGACGTGGTCGTCGAGGTCAACGTCGGCGACGGCGTGGAAGGCGGCGCCGGCGGCCGAGTGTGCTTGCCAGGGTGCAGCTGCCCAGCGGCGCCCTGCCACCACGCAGAGGCGCCGGCGGAGAGGCCCAGCAGCGTGCAGAAGCAGAGCCGGCCCAGCGGGCCTCCGCAGCAGCCGCGCTCCGGCCCGCCGGCGGGCGGCGGCGCCCCCCCGGGCGGCTCTGGCGCCTGGCCGGGCGTGAGACGCCGGGCCACGACCGACGACGCGCTGCGGGCGCGCCGGACCCACTCCGCGGGAGCGCCCGCTGCTGCCCCCGCACCGGCTCCGCTCTCCGCGTGCTCCTGCTCGCCCTCCGCCCGGCCAGGCGCTGCGGCGCTCGCCCGAGCGGTCTGCTCGGGCACCGGGGCAAAGACGCGCACCTGCGTGAGCAGCTGCATCTGCGCCCTGGCCTCCCGCTGCCTCCGCTGGCGGGTGATGCCCTCGCGCACGCGGGCCCTGGCGCGCTCTCTGGCGCGCTCCTTCGCCGCCGGGTCCATGTAGCCCCCACGCGCGCTGGCCGGCTGGCTGTAGTCGGAGTCTCTGGGGCTATTACCGGGCGACAGCAGGCTGCTTGCCATCGAGCGCGCCGACATGGAGCCCGACGCCGAGCCTGGCAGCTGGCCCCTGGATGCGTATCCGAGGCTCCCGCTCTAGAAGAACAGAAAACTTGATATAAGCATAAACTCTTGGAGGTCCGCGCGGATTTCCTGGATCCGCGCACGCCAGGGGTGGCGCCCGAGGCGCCGCCAGGTGGGGCCAAGAAGCCCGCGCGGAGCTCTGACGGTTTATGTGTATGCCGCTTTGGGTTCTTCGACGCTCGGCGCCGCATGCCAGTCGCCCACCACGTTCGCGACCGAGCCCGCGCCGGCATCGGCTCCCTGCTTGAGCAGGGACCGACAGTCCTGGCATTCCTATAGTCATACCACGAAATGTGCTTAGAACCAAAAAACAATGTTCTTAGAACATAGACCCGATGTGTGAAAACAAAACAGCCCCCGCCAGAAACGTTCTAGGAACCTTCCGTGGGGATCACAAAAGGTTCTTAGAACATTGTTTGGTAGGGCTATAGGCGAGCCGGGACGCTTCGCCACTGCTTGACCTGCGGCGTCCCAGGCGTCCCGGGCCAATGCACGCGGGGCGTGCCCGACGGCGGCGCCACGGAGCGGCGGTGCGGAGGCGCCTGCTGGGGTGTCGCCCAGACCTGCCGCCGGCTCTCTTCCTCGTCGTAGAGGGGCGAGGCCGCGTGGCCGTCGACGTGAGGTCTGTCGAGAGATGGCTCGGCTACGCGCGGGAGCGGCCCTGCGCAAGAGTGACCCTGCGTGCGCGACGCCGGGACGGCGCGGAGGGGCCCATTTGAAGCGCGCGGGCTGGTGCTGGAGGGGGGCGTGGTGGCCAGCACAGAAGGTCACTCCGGCTAGGGGTCACTCTTACGCGTAGCCGAATGGAGAGGGGAGGGCAAACGAGATGCCGTCGCTGTAGCGGCCAAGCATCGGGGGGCTGCCACCAGCCTCGTCTGCGTAGAAGCTCTCTCCCGGCCGTTCCGAGCTCCACGCGGTCAACTTCTCGACCAGCTGGTCGCCATCGATCGTCTCGAAGCTGATCCAGCCCAACAGCGTGGTGCTGCGGACCTGGATGCGCCGGCCCTTGCCGATGCGGATCACCTCCAGCTCGGTGCCCTGCGGCAGAAACTCCTCGATGATGTCGCTGCTCGTCTCCTCGCCTACGCGCACGGTGACCTCCGACACCGTGACGCAGACGTCGCCCGGCGCGAACGGCGGCGGCCACATGGTGGCTCAGCGCGGGCGCCGCGCTCGCCTGGGCCTCCAACACGCATCGCGGGCCCACGAAGGAAGTGTCCAGCCTGCGAGCGGGCCCGTGTGCAGCACCGGCGCCGTGGGGGCACCGCGCTGGCTGCACCGAGGTCGCCGAGGCCCCCGTGCGCTCGCGGCGGCGAGCGGGCGCGCGGCCGCGGCGAACGGGCACGCGCGGGGTTCACGCGCGAAAGCCCGGCCGGGCGCCGGAGTGCTAGATCCTTTTCTTCGGCCAAGGGCGCCTACGGAGCAGGAGAGGGAGCAAGAGCAACAGCAGGCTGCGGTTCAGATGGGTGACTATGGGCATGGGCATGAGCACGGCCAAAGGCACGATCACAAATGCGAGCGCAACCACGGGTGTAAGGACGATGGTGCTTACCTCTATGCATAGAACTATGGGTATGCGTGGGGTTATGTGCTCATGACCAGGAATAGTGGTAGGGGTGTGTACGACCGTCGATGTCATTACGCATATAGGTTGATGCATGGGTGTGTGGGAGTGATGGTTGGCGTGGGAGCATGCTTACGACTGTTATACATGGCATACAGCATGGGGCATGCGGGTATGGTTTGGCGTGGGATGCATGGTGCAGACGGCATGGGGTGTGCGATATGGCGCATGGTATAGGACGTACCAGGTAATGGTGCGGTACGCGGTGTATTGAGGCATGCGGTATGGGGGTCGGCGTGCCTATGTGGATACAAGTAAGAGCACGCGTACGAGTATGATAACTACAACGAATGTGTGTTGATGGTGTAAGTTTGTGGTGGTAGCAACGTCACGGTCGTCACAACCATGACACGCGTACGAGTATGCTCAATCGATCGCGCACGAGTGTGGACATGAACGCAAATATGGATCGTATGCTACTGCGTAAACGTGTGTCCATGGAGAGGAGTACGGACAGGATTGCGAGCATGAGCATGAAGCTGTACTATCTCGACATGGGGATGCCGATGAATATGCACAAATGGACGCAACGACAATGACGATGGCGATCCTGGGGATGATGACGAGGAGCGACGCCCTGCCCTCCACAGCCACGTAAGAGGTCCCGCTGCACACGCCCTGTGAGGAGGATACGTGCAGACCTGTGCGAGCAGGTCAACCCAGGGCAGGCACTGCGGAAGAGCAGGAAGAGGACAAGCATCAAGAGGAGACCTGCGAGACCACAGGTTCAAGTCATAGCACTAAGAACTTCTCCAGGAACGGCCTGCAATAGCAGTTCCTGAGCTCCAGGTAGCACAAAAAAACGAGGAGGAGGAGGAGGACGCGGGAGAGAGGAGGAGCGGCCGGAGAAGGAAGGGAGAAGAGGGGGCACAAGTGAGAGAACATACGTGCGAGGCGTGCGTGCGTGAGTGTGTACGGGTCTGTGTTTGTCTGTGTGTATATGTGTGTATGCGTGTGGTGTGTGTGTGGGTATGTGTGTGTTTGTGTGCATGTGCTTGCGTGCGTGTGTAATTGTGTGTTTGTGTGCGTGTGTATGCTTGTGTGCGTGTGCGTGTGTGTGTGTGTGTTTATGTCCCACTGGGTGTTTGTGTTCCGTTGGGTGATTGTGGGTCCCTGCACGGTGTGGGTGTGTGTGGCCGAGCACGAGCTCGAATGGTAAGCAGGGAGTAGGCTGCCCACTCGGGCCTCTTAATCCCCATCCGTATCACCACGCCACAGCTAACCTGACACTCGCCCTCACCATCATCAAATATAATACTAACGGTTGCATTTGCCGTCCCGTTCCGACCCAAATCATCATCACGATCATCATCCCTATTGCCGGGTCCTCACAAAATCCTGCTGAAGAGCACCATCATGAACTATTACGTTAGGACTGTTCGCTCTTGTTCGCTCGCGTAACACAAGCATGTGTGTCCCAAACCCTCGACTCGCAGGCTCTTCATCTCTCAATCGTGCACGCATGAGGGGGGATTCCTTCTTCTTGCGGCCGGACGGAGGGCAGGGGAACGGAGTGAAGGAGGGAAGGAGGGAGGACAAATATGAGTAAAGGAGAGTTCGCCCCAAGGGGACATGACATGTCACGGCCTCCGCCCGCTAGGCGAAGATCCCATGGTGAATTTACCGGCGAGCGACACGCTAGGTGCTCCTGGGGGCAATTCGCAATTCCTCCTGCTACTCCCGCGAGCGGGTAAGATCAAACCAAAGCCTGAGCTCTGAGACTCTGGATGTCTTCAGCGGCCAAGCTGTGCTTGCGACAGCTCTGAGTTGTCCCAAAATGCGGCTCTGCAAACTCCGCGCAACGAAAATCACCACCCAGTGACGTCAGAACCAGATCGACGAAAAGCAGAGGGTCGAATTTGACCTTGGCTTGACAAGACTCCTTCCCTGGAGCTGGGAGTCTTGGGAGGAAGGTGGCCCAAACAGGGCGGGCAGTGGTCAGCGAGAGCATGGCAGAGCAGCGTGGATGGTAGCTAACCGTCTCATTAAAGTCTCGTGCTCTGCATGTATTCCTGTTCATGTGCTTCTTCTCATCAGCACCATTCCCAGCGCGCGGCCTGTTGAGATGGGGCTCTCTCAAGTGTCGACACCCCACCCAGGACACCGACGGGATGATCGAGCTCAACGTAGGTCTCTGAAGGGTCGGGATTCAGAGCTCCAGTCTCAAAGTGCGTCTGGGAGGCGACGCCCAGGTGTGCGGAGAGGGGGGGGTCCGGCGCCAACCCAACAGAATTGCGCGGACCTCGGGACATGCATTAGGTCGGGCATGGCCCCTTAAAGGGGGATTCAGGACGAAAAACTCAGTAGTCAGAACATATTCCAAACATGCTCACAAATACTCGAAAAATCGTCCCCAGGCTATTTTTTTGATTTTTGAGAATTCCCTCTGTAGAGGGACAGGCTCGACTCAAGACATGCATGTCTGTTGCCGCCGTTGTATATAAGCACCAGTTACCGGGGCCGTCGACAAGAGCGACACGCAGCCTCGGGGGAGACCGCCTGCGTGAGGGGGGGGAGGAGGAGGAGGAGGAGGAGGAGGAGGAGGAGGAGGAGGAGGAGGAGGAGGAGGAGGAGGAGGAGGAGGAGAGGGATGAGGGATAAGGGGGAGGGAGGAGGAGAGAGGAGGAGGAGGAGGAGGAGGAGGAGGAGGAGGAGGAGGACCACCCCAAGAAGAAACGAGAAGAGGGCAGGCGGACAAGAGAGAGACGAGACGAGGGCAACAGTTCAAGAGTCCCCAACTACCCGCCTACATCAGCGATTGGAGCTGCGGAGCGCGCCTGATGGATTGTCGAAGCCGTCGTGGAGGAGGAGGAGGACGACGAGGAGGAGGATGAGGAGGAGCAAGGTTTGGGAGTCCCAAAACGGCGCGGTGACTGACCGTGCGGTGACCTCGAAATCCTCCCAGACCTCACCGCACGGTCCGTCACCGCACGGTTTTGGGACCCTGGAGGCCCCTGTCGCCCGAGACATCCTCGGAGAAGGACTCGAGTCCCAAAACCGTGCGGTGACCCCGAATCCCCACCGACTCACCGCACGGTGTGGTCACCACACCGTTTGGGGGCCCCCGAAAGGTACTGGTACGGCCACTCCACGGCACTCTCCTGGGTGTTGTACGTTCTGTCTGGCCGGGACTCGGAGGGGACTCCGGCCGTGGCGGCGCGGGAAGGGGGCAGGCGGCACTGGTACAGCGGAGGCCTGTCCACGAGAGAGACCTCCCACAAGAAACCCCTCCCTCCCTCCTCCCTCCCTCCCTCCCTCCCTCCCCCCTCCTCCCTCCCTCCCTCCCTCCCTCCCTCCCTCCCTCCCTCCCTCCCTCCCTCCCTCCCTCCCTCCCTCCCTCCCTCCCTCCCTCCCTCCCTCCCTCCCTGAGACCCCGGGGCGTGCCCTGGGGCTCTGGTGTGGGAGCGTCAGGCTTTTTTCCCACAGCAAGAAGCCATCGAGGCACACGAATAACCCAGGGCACCCTCTGGAGGCCAGCCCCCAGGAGCCCCCCAAGAGGCCCTGGGGGCCCCCGAGACGCCGCCAGGGAGCCCCAAGAGACTCCCAAGAGGTCCCCAAAAAGCCCCCAAGAGGCCCTGCAGAGGGCTCCAGGGCCGGCGGAAGAAGCGAAGCGATTAATTGCCAATCTGGCGTCTTTTTAAAGTCATTTACCGGCTCTCTTGGGGCTTTCTGAAAGTCTTTAAGAGCCCACTTAACAAAAGCCCAGCCAAAGCTGAGTGAACACCCCCGCTACATCCCGATTCGCCCCCCACGCAACCTCCGCGTTCCAAAAAAAAAAGTGGGGCGGCGGTGTCTGCCCCCTCAGGGGCGTTCAATTAATAACCAGGGCACCCTGGAGGCCAGCCTTGCTACGGGCCTCCCCTGTGCCAGTTCCTCCTCCTCTCGTGCGCGGCGGAGCGCCGAACCCGCCGGGGGGGGGCAAAGAGAGGCCGAGCAGAGGGGCGGCGGGCGCGCCCCCGTGGCGCCCAGCAGCGGCCCCGTGTGCTGCGCCATGGGCCCGCCGGGCCGAGCGGTCCCAGGGGGGGCTGCTGGGCTTGTCTTCCACCACCACCACCACCAGAAGTTGGAGGGGGGGAAGGAGGTGGAGGACGAGGAGGAGGAGGAGGAGGTGGAAGAATAATCAGAAGAGCAAAAAGAAGAAGAAGAAGAAGAAGAAGAAGAAGAGGAGGAGCAGGAGGAGGAGGAGGACCCCCTCCCCCTCCTACTTATGGTGGTGGTGGTGGTGGTGGAAAACAAGACACACAGGGGGCAACTCCTCGTCGGCCTCTCGTGAGCGCCTGCCGTGACGCCCTGCTGGCTCTTGCGCAGCGGCGCTGGCCGCTGCACGGCTGTCGGCGCTGGCTCGACGCGCGGCTCTCGCCACTGGTCGACACGGACACAATCGGCGCGCTGCCTCCTGGGTGGACCCACGCGCTCGCGCGCGCGCGCCGCTGCACTTTGAGTGCGGGAAACTCGCGAGGCTCCCACGACACTGCTGCCGAGCACCTCCGGGGAGGCCCTCGCGAGGACGCCGGAGGGGGCTGCT